TAGTAGCTATCAAGATATCGAAATGTATGTAGTGTCCTAGAGAATAATACAAATATTTTAGTGGATGATCCTTTCAGCAGTAAATGATAGTCCAGATACAATAAGCAAAAAGTGTAAGAAAACTTAGGCTGAAGTAAAATGCATACAAATCTTCTGGTACTCTATAGATTGACATAATAGTTCTGAATCTTATTACTGATCAAGTTGATGTTTAATAGTGTTCAGGGAATTTCTATCAACTACTTTGCAATATACATAGAGTTATACAAAGTGTGATAATATGCCGGTGTGCATCTCTAGTGCTTTAAAATTGTTTAAACCCTTTGCCTAAGAAATGGTTAGTTATATTCACTTACGTTTTCATGATTAAACATTGTAAATCAGGATAGAAGTTATTGTGTCAACTTTTGTTTGATTGCTAGTATAGGCTACACTTCGGGGGATACGCTGGACTGCGGAAAAGAACCTAGAAGACTTGGATTTCGCCGATTACTTGTGCCTAATGTCACATAAACTTGAAGATCTACAGGCAAAAACTAACAAGTTGATAGAAGAGGCAGCTAAGACGGGACTCCAGTGAATATAGAGAAGACAGAAGTAATGAAAATACCGCACCACCACCACCAACAACAACAACAACAACAAACTCCAATCACCATCAACGGGAGAAACTTGAAGGAAGTAACCTCCTTCACCTATCTAGGAAGCACTGTTTCAACTACAGGCGGCACTAGCACAGACGAGGATGTCAAAGTCAGCCAGGATCGGAAAAGCAAGACAGGCGTTCATAAGCCTGAAACCAGTGTGGAGATCTTCTGCACTGCACTCAGCATGCGAAACAAGATACGGATTTTCAACACTAATGCCAGTCAAGTCAGTGCTTCTGTATGGTTGAGAGACTTGGCGCGTCACGAAAGTGATTTCCAATAAACTACAGACATTCATCAACAACTGCTTACGCTCGCTACTGGAGATCAGATGGATTGCCAGAATAATAAGAATAAGCAACAAGGAGCTCTGGCAACGAACCAACGAAGCAAGAACCTATCATCCATCAAATATGCAGGAGGAAGTGTAGATGGATTCGGCATACACTGAGAAGGCCGACTGGGGACATCAGGTGTCAGGCCAGTTGCTCGAGTGGAATCCCCAGGGGAAGCGACGAGTTGGACGTCCTAGGTGAGGGTGACATGGAGGAGATGGTGTGAGGAGGAAATGAGAGGTTGTGGGCTGTCGTGGAACCAGGTTCAAAAGACTTCAGAGAACAGAGTTCACTGGAGACGTGCTACTGAATCCTTATGTTCCACTAGGAACCCAAAGGACTAATAATAATAATAATAAATAGGCTACACTTCAGCAGACATCTTTAGATATAAGATATTGAATTTAAAGGAATACTAAGCACTTAACTGGACTATGAATGCAATATAAGCTGACCAGCTGGAATGTCTTTCATTTCATTCTCTAAACGAAATGTGCTTAAATCTTATTAATCTTCCATTGGAGTAATAGTCACTTGTATAGTTGCTTCATGGGATGAGACGGTATATCTTTCTAATGTTAAAAAACCTAAATGAGTGGTCAACTGACCTTAAAAAGAAACCTTTGTTGGCAATGGGTACATAACTCATATGCCATCTTATTTTGTACAAATAATCTTGAAAAAGTAGCTTCATAACATTACTGAACTATTGAAGTATGAGTAAGTAAAGAAGTTTAGTGAACAAACAATAATCTTGATTGTGCAAAGAAATATATTCCCCTTTCAATTAGGTCTTCGTCTTGGCTCCTCAAAAAAATATAGGGTTACGATTCAATCAAAATACCAGTGGTGGCTAGGCTTTTGTGGTGATTTATTATTATTTGTCCCCTGGGTTCACACTGGAACATACGGCTTCAGCAGCACGTCTTCATTCCACTCTCAACTTTACAGTCTTTTCAAACTACCTCTACCACTGCCCACAAACTCTCATTTCTTCCTAACACGATCTCCTACATGCCAGCCTCAGATGCCTAACTCATCTTTTCCCATATGGCTTCCACTCCACAGCCACGCCTGTCACCTGATGTCCCCAATCGCCCTTCTCAGTCTATACCCAATACATCTACACTTACTTACACTGCAGATTTGTTCACTAAAAGGTTCTCAGTTGGTTCGTTGCCAGACAGCCAGCCAGCCAACCAGCTAGCCAGTCAGCCAGATTTCCTTGTTCCTCATTCCCATTATTCTCCCCATCTGATCTCATCTTCAGTATCCACTGAGCAAGCGTAGGTGGCAGTTGTTGATGAATATGTGTAGTTTGTTGGAAGTGCCTCTCGTCATGTGCCAAGTCTCTCAGCCATACACAAGCACTCACTTCACTGAATTGGTGTTGAAAATACGAATCTTGTTCCACATGCTCAGTGTAGACGACCTCCATACTGGTTTCAGGCTAACGAACGCCTTCCATGCTTTGCTGATCCTGGTTGGTTTTGACATCCTCATCTGTGCTTGTGTCGTCACCTGTAGTTGAAATGATGCTGCCTAGATAGATGAAAGAAGCTACTTCTTCTAAGTTTCTCCTGTTCATGATGGTTGGAGCTTGTTGTTGCTGTTGTGGGTTGGGTATCATCATCACCTCTGTCTTCTCTACATTCACTTGAAATTCTGTCTTCGCTGCCCTGCCCAGCCCTGCCGTGTCCTGCCCTGCCTCTTCTATCAACTTGTTAGTTTTCCCCTGTAGATTTTGTAGTTTGTGTGACATTAGACATAGATCATCATTGGTGAAATCCAAATCTTCCAGGATCTTATCCCTGGTTCACCTTATCCTGCATGATCCAGTCGACCACAATCAGGAATATCATAAGTGATAGTAGACGGTCTTTTCTTACTCCTATCTTCACTTCAAAAGCACCACTGATCTTCTAATTGTGAATTACTTTGAATGTGTTGTCTTCATATAGTTGCTGAATGAGATTGATAAAGGTATGTGGTATTCCGTAGTGTTGAAGCAGTTCCCAAATTTCTGAACACTACCCATCATAGTTGACTAAAGAATAAGTTTAAACAATAAAGAGCTCCAAAGTTGCACATTTAGTTGACAATGGACATCGAGTGAATACTAGAAAAGCATTCAAAATTATTCAACATATTCTAATTAATTTACTACATGAATTACACACTCCCTTACTTTATATAACAGAGGCGATTGCAATCCACCTTTATAAACCTAACCGTTGTATTCAAAGGACATTTGCTCGACTACTACCGTGGACGTCAACATGATGTAACTCCTAGCAATACTTTGTACACCTCTTCCCCTTACTTATTTCCAACATTCATTTGTTTTCTTATTATTGCGTAATCGCTTATTGTGAATGAGTGAACACTCATCAAAAATCAACCCATTTACTTAAGAATAATCTGCTTCATATTACCAGTTTTAATTACTCTACTCAGTATCTTAGTTTCTTAAACTTATCTTCATGACTTACTTAAGATCTGTAATTATTGTTCATCAACCTGGCCACCACTTAGTTGGTATTCTAACTGAATTATAAACCTTTATATTCATGTAGAGCGTAATTCGAAGACCTGATTGAAAATGAATATATTTCTTTGTTCAATCAGTCGTTTTTCTAAATTTTCATTTTGATTGAGGTAGCCATGGTTCACAGACTAGTATTGATCCTAAGTAATGACTAAAGGTGAAGCGGAAATTTGGACAGCGGTTGGATTCGAACCAGTGATCATCATGTTTTCAAGTCTATAGTCTACCAGCTGAGCTGCGGAGTTCGACTGGTGATCAGATTTTTATTTCACTTTAGTCTAGTCAACAGTCAACCCTCGTAGCTCAGTTGGTAGAGCATTGGGCTGGAAACCCAGTGATGGCTGGTTCGAGTTCAGCCACAGTCTAAATTCTCATTCTTTCCACATATCTAAAGGGAAATATTTAATGTAGCAGAAAATAATACCCTTGTGGAAACCAATCATGATTACCTTCCTGTATCAGGTTTATTTAAAGTCAAGAATATGCAAACTTGGGTATATAGAACGATATTTCCCTGTGTAACGTATTTGCACGTTGTAGAATGTCAGCGACAAAACGATCAGATGTAGAATACTACAACAGTGAATAACATTATTTGATGGAGTTATAACTTTGCATCAACCGACGTATTCAAGGTACTAAGGCAATTAGGTCACGTCGTCTGTTTCTTGTTTACATTGATCAGTCAGATGAATTTTCTTATCAACGAATCAGAAAGCCTGTACAAATGAAATGGACCCAACAGAATAGAAGTCATGTTATTATCAGCATATTATAGAAAATATAGGTTGGTATTCAAGTCATGTTTTAGCGTCAATATTTCCAAGTGATACTACTCTTACCTATAGTGTTTATTACATTGAACTGCTTTAACAGGCGATAGAATAGACAATTTGCAACTGATTTACAAATTACACGATCTACACTGATATTTCTCATAGTTGTGATGTCAATCGGGTTTTCATTGGAAACCACCTAGCCAAGATTATATGGTATGGTCTGTGATAAAAAGTGTACAGAGTAGTTGGAAACCATTCACGTTGATCTATAGATTTTACCAGTCAGGTATCGAACCAAATCAGATTGATCTAAGCAGCGAATAATCGGTTCTTTCATTTCCAACTAAACTGATTCAACTCATACAGTTTCATTGTTCAGGTCAATTGAATCTGATTAGCTGACTCACATAAGACGGTACACCTTAAACAGGATGAAGATTTTTCAAATAATTTACGCATGAGTGAGATAGCTATTTGATGCACAGATCACGCTTATCTGGTTAACTGAGCTATCTGACGAAATCTATATATCAGCATAAATGGGTTCTAGTTACTCATGATGTTCAGCAGTATATTTTAACAAGCAGTGACTTAGGAAGAGTAAGCAAATTTTCCTAGACTTGGATTTTATTCATAATCATGTCTATTAGACAGGTTTTTATGAAAGCTAGAAAGGAGATTTATTACTCACCTTTATACTTGTAGGTAATTCTAATAGAATTGGTAAATTATTTTCATTTGAACAATATTCTCTATTCCATACTGGTGATATTGTAGTTTGAAGTAGATCAATATTTGAATTTCTAGACAATTGTTCAGATAATATAAATGGATCCACTGTATGACTTATTTGAGGTGTACTTGTAGTTGTTATCCCATTGAAATAATTTACTATACATGGATTAGTTGAATTATTTGTATTAATCTGTTGTATATTAAGTGTTTGATTTGTTGACCAAGATGGATTGATAATTGGAAATGGACAAATTATTTGAGATTTATTATTATGAGGAAAATTTACAATTCCATGTAAAATATACACCATTTCATAATTTAGTTAAATTTTTTTAAAAAAACAATATTTTCATATATAATTAAATGAATTTTTATAATATGATTTAATTACTTTATAGAATGATGTTTCAATTAAAAAATTTATTGTATACATTCAATTAATGATAAGGTTAAATTATTGACCACAAATAGGAACTTATTCAATTTTCAAGATTAGATGAAATAATGAAGTCAATCGTTTAGTTATACTATTTTCATATGAAATTACAGTATTTGTTTCATTTCGATTCACCTGAGTATTATATCTTACCTTTATAGTTTTATATACTTAACTATGTATGGGTTAGTGCTTACAAATATGCTTACCGATATATGGATCTACTTAAATATCCTAGATTGTAAATATAATGACAAGTAACTAACTAACTAAACATATAACCAATCAACAAGCCCCTTGTTATGAGTTCATTCTGTCTACACTTATACTATGGATTATCCTCCTATATATATATATATATATATATATATATATATATATATATATATATATATATATATATATATATATATATATATATATATATATAAGTATACACATGAGAATAGTCAAGCATATACACAAATAAGTATCTACACAGACACACTAACAAGGGAAAAAGCTTGTTTAAGACTGAAATGAACTATAGTCTTTATGGAATTATTCTGATTAGTTTACTATTTATCGATCGTTGTTACTTTAACAACCATATACTTATTGGGGTAAAGATAATATTTGTAAATTAGGAAAAATAGATGTACTGACAAAAATAAAGTCTTATGAATGAACATCGAATGGTAACATGAATTTTTCAGAGTTAATTATTAAAACAGTGTAACAATAAATTTTACAAGATTTAGGATAATTAATGTATACCATAAACCTTTATCAACCACATTCAATAACTAGATGAAGACGTCGCATTCCAAGTAATTCACAATGAGAAGATCAGTGATGCTTTTGAAGTGAAGACAGGAGTAAGACAACGTTGCCGCCTACTACCACCAATAATCTTCCTGATTATGGTCGACTGGATTATGCAAAAAAACAGTGGGGAGCGAGAAGATGAGTATATGCTGGATCGAGGAAAAGATCCTGGAAGATTTGGATTTCACCAATGATGATCTATGTCTAATGCCACACAAACTACAAAATCTACAGGGGAAAACTAACAAGTTGATAGAAGAGGCAGGGCAGGACACGGCAGGGCAGCGAAGACAGGATTTCAAGTGAATGTAGAGAAGACAGAGGTGATGATGATACCCAACCAACAACAGCGACAACAAGCTCCAACCATCATGAACAGGAGAAACTTAGAAGAAGTAGCTTCTTTCATCTATCTAGGCAGCATCATTTCAACTACAGGTGACGACACAAGCACAGATGAGGATGTCAAAACCAACCAGGATCAGCAAAGCATGGAAGGCGTTCGTTAGCCTGAAACCAGTATGGAGGTCGTCTACACTGAGCATGTGGAACAAGATTCGTATTTTCAACACCAATTCAGTGAAGTGAGTGCTTGTGTATGGCTGAGAGACTTGGCACATGACGAGAGGCACTTCCAACAAACTACACATATTCATCAACAACTGCCACCTACGCTTGCTCAGTGGATACTGAAGATGAGATCAGATGGGGAGAATAATGGGAATGAGGAACAAGGAAATCTGGCTGGTTGGCTGTCTGGCAACGAACCAACTGAGAACCTTTTAGTGAACAAATATGTAGTGTAAGTAAGTGTAGATGGATTGGGTATAGACTGCGAAGGGGGATTAGGGACATCAGGTGACAGGCGTGGCTGTGGAGTGGAACGGAGATGGGAGAAGACGAGTTAGGCATCTGAGGGTGACATGTATGTGATCATTTTCGGAAGAAATGAGAGCTTGAGAGCAGTCGTGGAGCCAGGTTCAGAAGTTTGCAGAGAACAGAGTTTACTGGAGATGTACTGCTGAAGCTCAATCTCTCAGTAGGAACCGAAGGGAGAAATAATATAAAAATAATAATGTATAAATCCCTACAAAACCTCCAATTTGAATAATTGTAGTTTTCATTAGTAACTCACTTCAAGAGGTGATTCCTATGGTTCCAATGGGAAGTCATTACCACTTTTGTCAACCTAGTCGCAAATGGACTCTGATCAAGCCTTTCACCGGTAATGTGCTAGCTGTGTAATATGAAGATTCAGGATTTAGTCCCCTTTTATTTACAATAGCTTCAATAGTTTAAAGAAGGTGAATTCCTACTTCCTCTGATGGCATTCGACGTGATATTTTGTGAATTACTGGATGGGGAAAGTTATGTTAACATTTTAGCCAGTATCAGTTAGGTAGAGACAGAACAGAACTCTTTTGCTTTCCATACTGGAACTAGTCCTGAAGTCTGATTGTAATAATTTCGGCTAGATTGTCATTCCACAATGAAAAGTAGATGGTTGTTTGCTTCTTGCCACAGATGAAGATGACTGGCTGTTCCATTCTGTCTGTCATATTCTTATTATTGCGGCTTTCAAGAGTAGTCATTTTATTTTAAAGTGTTCATCAAATCTTGTTATACTTTACACATCGTAGCAACTGAGCGAATTTTTCTTGCCCTTTCAAACGGACACTGAACCCATTTCGTCTTTTATCATGATGGAAAAAAAACAATAAAAGCTCGTAAACCTTTCACCTAGAGATTGGAATATTCCATATGCTAAACTGAAGGTCTACACACTTGGTTCAATAGGATATCATTGAGCCACTGGGTCAGAATCCAATGCTGCATATTTCCAACTTCTGTTAGCTCACGATATAGCGCAGACCGCCACCCAATGTCATCGTTGAGTATTTGTCCTCACGGCCATCAGGCTTTGACTCCACCGGTCAAGACTTGTCATTGGAACTTCGGGAATACTTCTCGAAGCTAGTCATCAACCAGCACTAGTTCAATTAAATTTTGAGGGGTTGTGGAGATTTGGAATTATTTCAAGTTGTTATTCCTTTGTTCCTCCAACTGATGTCAGTCTTCGATGAATAACAACTTGAAATAATTCTAAATCTCCACAACCCCTCAAATTTAATTGAACTAGTGCTCGTTGGTGACTAGCTTCGAGAAGTATTCCCGAAGTTCCAATGACAAGTCGTGACCGGTGGAATCAAAGCCTGATGGCCGTGAGGACAAATACTCAACGATGACATTGGCTGGCGGTCTGCGCTATATCGTGAGCTAACAGAAGTTGGAAATATGGAGCATTGGATTGTGACCCAGTGGCTCAATGATAACGCGCTGGCCACGGAACCTGAATGTCGCGGGTTCGATCCCTGCTGGTGGTGGTGGTGTGGGGTGGTGGGTGCGCACTACTGAGGAGTCCCATACTAGTCGGACGAAACAGCTGTCCAGTGCTCCCAGGTTTCCTTTGTTCCTCCAACTGATGTCAGTCTACGATGAATAACAACTTGAAATAATTCTAAATCTCCACAACCCCTCAAAATTCAATAGGATATCATTTGTTTTGGCATGATGCAAAGACAAGTTGAATAAAGTTAAACGACCATATTGCCCGATCTTTTCATTGTCTAGCTCTACTGTTATCTTTTATCATCATTACCGCTAAATTCCAAGCAATGACATACTCACAGGCTTCTCGTTGTAACGTCTATCTTCTATGGATAGGTTCAACTGCTAGTACTGAGAATTATCATATGGTGATATTTCATTGATTTTAGTAGTGCCAGGATATTGCATCATCAGAAATAATCGTGTTTGATTAGCTTCTTCGATGTAAGCCAACATAACATTTAACCGATCAATGCTGTTGCCAACAGTTGATCAACACTTTAATTAGTCATTCAAAGATGTTCTTCCGAATAAAATTTACAGTTCCTATGCTTTTAGTAGACCAATAGTTTTTATTTGTGGACCATTAGACAAAAATAATTCTTTTGTTCCGGTCAAATGACATCACAACACTTTACTTTTAATAACAGTATAGTTATTAAAAGAGGATGTGAATAAGTATATAAGATATTCTGCCTTTAATATGTACATATTCATCATGGACTAAGACTAGTTGGAGAAACCTGAGAGCACTGGACAACTGTTTTCTCCTAGTAGGAGGAGACTCCTCAGAAGTGTGCACCGATGATGCCAAAGGAGATTGAACCTGTGACCTTCAGGTTCCGCGACTAGCACGCTACTCTTTGACCACTGGATCGGAATTCAACGGTTCATTTTTCTTATTTCTGTCTGTTCGCGAAATATCATGCAATGTCATCTTTGAGTAACTGTTCTCATGGTGATTGATTACTTTCCTTTAGTATCTACAATGATTTGTCATCTAGAATGTTTAATTTTGATTTATCCTTTGGGTCATATATTTATTTTTATAAGTGTAAAACTTCTGCACTGTGGTAGAATGTAATTCCATATTAGATTTGTTTATTTGATATATGGCGCACAGTGATACAGTATTATTTACTTGATTACATTTCGAGCATCAATTATTGCTCATAATCATATCAATGTAATCACACTTCTTTCGATATCTGATTTTATAGTCCTGTCACCTGATCTCTCTTTGTTTTCTGATTGGTAGTAAAGTTCTCCATATCTCTGGTATAGGTGTTGCATCATTCCTATTTCACATGTGTTGGGTGTGGATTCGATGAACAAAGATTCAGTAATTAATCTCTCTCAATGTCCACCTAGCTATATTAGACTTAAGTACAATGGTTTTGTCCCACCCTATTGTGTGGTTGTGTGTTAATGAATGTAATGCAATGGCCAAGTGTTTTTCATGGCTATTGATCTTATCGGGGTCTGTCGTTCTATGTTTAGCTAAATTCCTATGTTCTGTTAATCTAACTGACCCCGACCGGCTAGTTTCACCTATGTATTTGACTTCACAGTCATTACATGGAATTTGGTAGATTATATTATTTTGCTTAATTGGTTCTATCGGATCCTTAAGCCAGCCGACAAAGCTTACCTCTAAGTGAGTTTGTTGGTTTAAATGC